TACTCTGATAAATGTTTAAATAAACTTTTCAAATTTCAATCCTTCATATTTTCTCAATGACTCGACCGATTTTCAAAAACGAGGCGGGGAACTATAGAGTATAGAAAGCTCTTTTCATTGCGGCGCCACTTGACCCCCCTTCCCATTTGAAAAAAGTTGGGAGATGACACCCCCGCTTAGAGGGTTGAATATTTTGTAATCGTTTATAGGGCAAAAGTTGTCCCCCTCACAAACAAAATTGACGTGTTTTTGGATTTTTTGAAAAAATAAATACCCTGACCGTTATGCCTTGCGGAACGTTTTCGATGGGCCACCCTGTATATATAAAATATATTATATATGGGTCTCTTAATTCCTCGTGTGTATCATGCTGTAATTTTTGTGATCCATCTGCCTGGTGAAATTTCCAAGGTATAGCCAGGGTACCAGACACAAAACGTTGACTTCGTCCATCCTCAATTAAAGCCACTGCGAAACATTTTTCCGACATGTTCGTTTAAAGCAGCGTATCTCCAATACAAACAGAGATAATGCCGTGATTAAAAAAACAAAATGCCCACAAAAGATGAGGCTACAATGTGATTTGATTTAGCAATAGCAACTACAGCTGCTGCACCCTACAGGGTGTTACGGCAAGTTCGGGCAAAAAACTTCGTCTTATTGTTGTGCCCTGTATATGCTGAAAATAAATTCGGAATAAAAATTTCTGACGTAGCATCCGTTAAGAAGGAACTCATTTACAATTTAAAAAAAAATCATCAAAATCTAATGAGTGGTTCGCGAGAAATCCAATTTTAAAATTGGAACTAGATATATAGAGTTTATATAGTTTATAGGATATAAATAAATTGAAATCATATAAGAAATATTCTCAATGTGACCTTACTATGCCGGGGATAATTATAAAAAAGACGGAAAAATCTCATTACCAGCGGTATTGACTCTGCGAATTGAAGATCATCGATTAGACAAACCAGTCGGCCTTGTGCCAATGAAAATAAAAGCACTTCTTAGAGATTTGGTGTTACTGTTTTTTAATTGTTTATTTTATCTGTTAATAACAAAATGGAAAAATTATATTTTATCTTGAATTTTTGATGTTCTTTTATCAAAAAATAAAACACTAATTCACCACAATGCACCAAAACACTTTACTTTTAAACACGGGACGCGTGTTTCGCTAACCATGTTAGCATTATCAGCAGGTGATATAAACTTAGTTTTTAGAGTTTCTCTACTGATGATGTTGCTTAATCATGTTAGTTAGGTATCTACATCATCTGCTGATGATGCTAATATGTTTAGTAAAGCGCTCGTCCAGTGTTTAAAAGTTAAGTGTTTTAGTGTATTATGGTGAATTAGTGGTTTATTTTGCTGTTGTAACACCAGAGGTTTTTCTAGCGATTCTCTAATATTCTACAAAATTCTATAAATATTTGAATAAAAAGATTAAGGAAAGAGCATATCAGAAATCTTAGATCGAATATTCAATATATAATATTGAATATTCAATAATATAAATTATTTATTAACACACACATCCGATACGCTACTGAAGCAGTTAAGTCAAATTGAGATATTTAAATTATCTTTGACAAGTAGAAAATACAAGCAAAAATGCAAGAAAAAATATTTAATTAGTTAATTTTAAGTGAATTTCATAAAAATAATCGGTTTACTACACGTATGTATATTATAGTCACTTACTAGTGAAAAGCTATTCCATTATTTCCCTTGATTTTTGACCAAGATCTACCTCACGCTACAGAACAAATTATTTTACAGACTTTTTCAATAAATCGCAATAGATTTACTACCTTTAAACAACTACCAGTTGCAGAATAAATAATAAATAACATAAAATAAGCTCAATAAAGACAGCCTAATCCACAAAATTTCAAATTAAATTCAAATGTGTCAAAGGAAACGTCAAACAGAACTGTCAAGAATCCCCACCCTAGGTCCCCACCTCCGTCTACCATACAAGAACAGCATTATAGGTACTCCTTCATTAATCTTTCTATTCAAAGGTCAAAACAAAAAAAAATGACAATTATGGCATTTTTACCATTTTTTTTTCAATATCAAATCAAATGAAAATGATCAATTTTATGAAAGAAAATGCTGAAATGCCCACAAATTACAGTCAGTATGGTATTATTTCATAAAATACTTACTGTATTTTCTGTTTTATCGAAATGAGTTTACTCCTGTGAAGGTTTTATTAGTTCTAAACCAGAACACTGACATTTGAATCATTCTTGAGACCTTGATAACTCTGCGATTTGTAATTGCAGAATTCAAGCTTGCAATAAACACTTGCAATATAATAATACACGTAGGTTCATGATAAATAGGTATAAAATTCTCAGTTTAAATAAATAATACCGTATAAATCACGAAAGGTACAATTAAATTGGTTTGGGAATAATATCAGAATAATGTGGAGGTTAACAACATACCTATGAAGATTTTAGGTTTGTAACGTTGGCATATTTTTAAGGGTTTATAAAAAAACCGTTTTCATAAACCCTAAAAAATATTAAATGTTGTGTTGATGATGATGATAATTGATGGTAAAAATATTGTGATTCTTTTAATAATCAACTCATGCAACACTGTATACAGACGCAACACTTCATACAGCGTCTAAAGCAAACAATTCGTTGAAAATCTTGTTAAATAATAACTAGTTTTTAATAATACTCGTTAATTGCGATTTGTGCGATTGTTTTTATAATGACCGACCAATTATAGCATGATTAATTGTTTATGATCAGATATTTAACAAATTATTTATTCACGATTTAGCAAGATAACACTTTGTTTTTTTTTTATTTTCTCATATATATCTAAGATATATATACACTCACCGGCACCAAAAATGAGCACTTTAAAATTTTCATGAATTTTAAAGTTTTATATATTGTGTTCTAGCTGACCGATTTTGATTACTTTTTAAGCAATTTGTAGCTAAATTATTTGACTTTTTAGTATCTCTTTCCAAATTAAAAATGAAAGTTCCTATCTGTTCCCATACGAGGGTAAACAAAATGTTGATATTTTGGTGAATGTTTGGAACACCTTGTGGACTACGTTAACAAAGCAAGGAATGTAAAAATGTTATCATCTAGATGTGTCTTTTATCGATAGTTCGTTTTTTGATTCATCTCAATAGCTGTAGTTCTTTTGGAGATATTGGGTTTTGAAGACGACACTACATTTTTTCGTATTTTTTACATTAAAATTATGTTTTTGCTTTTGGTCCTAGTCAACAGACGTATAAAATAGTAAAATAGTGTTTATGATTTATGTAATGTCACTGTATTTTAAAAATCATGTTATTATTGTCTGTTGTTCAGTTACTCTAGCAGTTTAGTACTCAAAAGTTGATCTCTACCATGATCAATTATTAATGCAGCAATTGCCGATACTTGAGAACTTAAAACAATCTCTACTAGAGTAAACGCCAAGAAACAATAATAATATACCTTTTCAATGACAATGACATTACAAAAACAGTAAGCACTATTTTATAAGTTTGTTGATGAGGACCCAAAATCAATGCTGAAATTGCTGTAGATCGTTAGTGTCTTGTTTAAAAGAAAATCTCCCATAAAAATAAAGATAGTGAGATGAATCAAAAAACAAACTATCGAGGTGCCTAGATGATAAACATAGGTACCTAGAGATAAAATTATTTTTAAATTCCTTGCTTTGCTAACATATTCCACTTCCATCAAAATATCAACATTTTCTTTATCCTCGTATAATTGACAGAAGGAAATTTTTAATTTAGGAAAAGGCACTAAAAAGCCAAATAATTTAGCTACAAGTTGCTTAAAAAATCGTCAAAATTGGCCCACTAGGACAAAATATATTAAACCGTTGATTGAGAGAACTGTGAATTTCCTTCAATCAACGATTAAACTTTAAAATACATCAAAATTTTAAGGTGCCCGTTTTTCATGCCTGTGAGTATAGCAAAACATGCTCTGATAGTAGTGATTTTTTAGTTCACTTCACAATTACCAGCCGAATTTCTGTAGTAGTTTTTTCCATTTACTGTTGAGAGTTTTTTTTTAACTTTATGAGGTTTTAAACGTATTACAATAACATTAAATCATACATTATTATAATGTTTGCATTTCCTCTCGAACAAGACATCCTACCACCTGGTACCACAGCAATGTTAACCTGGAAAAATGGACCTTCTCGCTAATGTCTTTCTCCTTAAATTTGTCTTAGTACTTTTTTACAGCCACGAAATAGAGATTTTTAGCAGTAAACGGAATGCGAAATACGAAAATTTTGTGATTTGTATTATAGAACTTTTATAGAACTTTTATAGAACTTTTATAGAACTTTTATAGGACTTTTGTAGAACTTTTTGATACAAATGAACAAAAAGATAGTACACAGAGCAAAGAAAACTATAAAAGAAAAAATTGAAATAGAAAAACACTAATGTGTAAAATGTGGGTAGAGCATTTTGTAAATCCGAGCGTGTGAAAATTATTTATTTATTCCTATCGACAACCGACTGATTACTAACTACCAAACAAATAAGTTTTTATGTCCAACTCTAGTAATTATCTCCAAGAAAATATACATATATGTATGAAACACGACGCGGTTGTCCATATTTCGAAAAAGAATAGATTCTGTTTTTGCTGGCTGGCGACATTTTCGTTAACAAATTAATGAAGTCAGTTTTGTTGGAAAATTAGGCCGTCGTCTTTTTGCCTTGGATGTTTTTGCTGGTTTTCGATATTAATCAAATCCGTTAATTAATAGAGATAAAGCCGACTGCATTGGTATTTTTTGCGATATGGAAATAGAAAATTATTTCATGTATATATGCGGTGGTCTAATGATCGAAAATGTCAATATGCTAACAAGGCAAAGAGTGGTTTTGATTGTGTAGGAATATGGTCATTAAAATTGATAATTACAGTAACCCCTTATTATACAAGGTATCATACACGCTATGAATTGCTATGACGATCTAGTAAGTCGGAGGGAGCAAGAATGCGAAGTATCTACCATTCAGATGCAAAAAAACGCACCGGAGAAAATTTTGGTCAAATTTAAAGTGTTATATTTTTGTTATTTTTTGCTCTAGTTTCATGTATTTTTTAGCTAGCTGCATATAATTCTCTCTCTCTCTCTCTCTGTCTTTATTCCTACAAAAGGAATGTAAGTAGTGGTCAGGTGATGTGTGAGGTTTGTCTCCATAATTCCCTGTCTTGTGCTTCATGTACAAGCGTGTGCAGTGGCTTGTGGGTGATTTTTGATAGTGTTATATTTATTAGTTATATCGGGAGGGCGAGCGGCCTCTTGGTCTTCTACCCGGAACCTTGCCACAGGGTAACACTTGATTAAAACACCCTGTGCAATAATTTCGTGTGTAAATTTTCCTAAAATATAATTGTACGGTCAGAACCATATCTCATGAGCATTTTGTTTTTTGGATCATGTCAATACATACCTTGGTTAATTTTTAAGAGAGAAATGAGCCACAAACAATTTGCAATTAAAATAGTTATTCTTCAAAATGACAAGGGGACTTTGGTGATTATTGTGAACTATATACTACTATGAACTGCCATCATGTTCGACGTTTAGCAAATGCTTGGCAGGAGGGTTCGAGGTCGCGAATCAGTACCAGTTTTATTAAATGAACTTCGCTTGGTCCTTAAAGAAGAATGGGAAAACAAAACGCAATATGATATATATGCAGCCTCAATGACAGTATGAATGGACGTATACAGGCAGTTATAGCAGCCAAGGGCGACAATACAAAGTATTAGGGTATTTTTTACAATTTTTTTTCTGTTTGCATACCTGAGTATATTACAGATGTTTTCTTTAATATCGTTAGTTCTGTTTTCGTTATTAAGGTTTATTAAAACCCGGACTGCATCGTTAGTCTTTAATTTTTTTTTAAAATTTAGTATAGGGTATTCAATGCAGTGTAATATGACGTCACCAAAACCATCATATTAAAAAATTACATCAAAAAGTAATGATAATTAAAAAAATTGCAAATTGATCGTTATCAGTTCATTTCGCTCTTAAAAATTAATAAAAGCATGTATTGGTATGAATCAAAAAAACAAAATGCCCAGGAGTCATGTTTCTGACCGTAAAATTATATTTTAGAAAAATTTACGAAAAAACGAAATTATTGCACAGGGTGTTTTAAAGTTAAGATAAAAAAACAACCCCTCGATTAACCCTGTGTAATATGCCAAATACTAAAGTTTATAAAAAACTGAGTTTACGAATTAAAGTTGATATTATTATGTTCACTTTTAACAAACAAAGAAATTTCTAGATTTTGCTATAAATCTATTAGAGAGCATTTAAAGAACCTCCGAGCAAATTTATATCATTATTATACATATTTTAGAGAAAAATTCAGATTTATTAAACATTCAACATATTCACAGTTTCCTCAATCATTAACCCAAAATGATTCTGTGTGAAAACCAGAAAGTGACAATTCCGAATAATTAGGTCATTATATTAATAATGCATTTAAATTTTCCAAATCTATTAACAAGTTTTTATCCTGATTTATATGAAAATACTAATTATATGATAATACTATAATATGTAGATACTAGAACGGCTTGATCTGGAACCCAAGCGAATTTAATGATGTTTTTCATGTCTCGCTATAAAAGCACAAAAACAGTTGTTAGACAAATATTTCCAATATATATCTAAATTTGTCGAACTGCAACATATTCCGTAATTATAAATAGATAATTATCAGTTTCTAATATATTCAAAAGTATATTAAAGGCTTGAAATATTTTTTTATTAAAAAATGTCTATACCTATGTGGCGGATTCATCTCTCCAAAAAATCCTATATGGGTATTTCGCCGCTGCAAGAAAATCTACAAAATAAAATAGTTGTTTTTTGTAAACACTTCTGCGTTAACCCAAACAGAAACTACCGTCAGAAGTTAGGTTTACAGGTATACAAATTTGCCCAACAAAGAAAAAAATGCTTAACGTTTCGGAAAATCTCTTTCCGTCGTCGGAAGCAAAAAAAATACAAAGAATAAAGAAAAAAACTATTTAAAATTCAACTATTCGAGAACACTTTAGCTTTTTAAAAAAGATACGTCTACAAAAATCGTTGACGTTCTGTTAAAATGACATTCATATGACATTATATCAAGTTAAACTTCAAAATTAACAATTACTACTTGATAACAATTACTTAATAAGGTAAAACCAAAAAGCCCCAAACTTTCTGTATGATTATTTTTAATTTTTACGTATGTTATGTTTATTTATGTTATGTTCTTTAAAATCCAAGAAGCGATTGCTATACATTACTAACATCTACAGATGCATGAGCAATACATTTATTTTTATGGATTGTATTAAAAAAGCCTCTTTTATTTTTCTTTTAGAGGCTATCGCTTCTTTCATTATAATTTTGGCGTTATTCAAATTTATTCTGTGCCCTGTGTCCCATGAATACTGACAAATCTTAGATTTAAGGGTCTAGATGTTTCACCAATGTAAAATTTATCGCGTTCACATGGTATTTTGTATATTACATTTTTTGTTTGTTGTTCTTTATTCATTGGTTTAGTATGTGATAAAATGGATCTAAGTGTATTTTGTGTTTTGAAAGATGTTCGTATGTTATATTGTTTGCCTATCCTTCTTATTTTTTCCGAAACGCCTCGTATGTATGGAATTGTAAGTTGTATATATTGTGTATTGTTATCATTGTGTCTATGATTTGGGGTTTGTATTTCGTTTAATGTTTTGTCAATAAAATATGGTGGATAATCATTTTTTATTAATGTATTTTTATGTGGTTTATATCTCTTTTTAGTGAAATGTCGTATGAACATATTATTTTTGCCCTATCATATAAACTTTTTATAACACCTTTTTTACACTTATACTGTGATTGCAGTGGCGAAATACCAATATAGGATTTTTTGAAGAGGTAAAAAATTAGTATTAATTAATATTTTCAATACAACGATATTGTTCATATGGAGGTAACACACAGATAGAACAGTCATTTTTTATGAGAAATAGGTAAACACCTTTCCATTTTTATTCTGGTGTTGTTGCTAGAGTAAAAACATAACACCTCCATGCAATGTGTCAAATGAATGCAGTTTTTATATGCATTACAGTGCTAAATTTAGAGCCATAACTTTAAACTATTAACATTTTAAAGGTCTTATTTGTCTTAGCTGATAATGACAAGACAATATTTAATTTAGAGAAATTTTATTGGAATATGTGTGTAGAATTGCTAATGAATTTATATACAGAGTTTTGCATGCAACTGGTTTGTTAAAAGTTTTTTTCTAAGACTAGCCTAGAAAATGCAGTTTGACACAAAGAAAACTCGATCTGAAATTGGCGTTTTGCAAACTGTTGTGTGCTAAGGATTTAGCGCACGACATGTGTCATTTTGCACATGACAAGTGTTAATTTTAACATTTTTAACCTCCAATGTTTAGCTGAAACGCCAAACGCAACGCAGCCGTCAGAAAAGTGTCATCATTACATCGCAAATTATTTCACAAAACTGGCAAAAACTGAGTGAATCTGTTGCTAATTTGTAGTCGTAGAAAAAATAGCGTAAAAAAGTCATTCGAAAACTTCTTTGTGCACTTGTTCGATTTGTGTCGACAAGTGTTCGACTTGTGTTCGACTTGTGTCAACAAACTGTCGAACTCGTGTGCAAAACGTCGTTTTCGAAACTCGTTGTTTAATATACTATTGACTATCTAATTTAGATAAAGTAAGTTTGCTATAAATAAATAAAAAAATTATAAAGTGTATCTGTAATGGAATAGACAATATTTTCTTACAAATATTGTTTACTTCTTGTTTCTTTCAAGGCCAGAAATTCTACACGGTTTAATACAAAGGTGCCCTATATTTCACCCACCTGTCTATTTCATTAGATTTTTCAATCTCGTATAATTGCTTTGTTATATTCTTTAATAGTTTTACAGAGAACAAAAAAACATTTTGGAATTTTCCTTTAATTTAGTAGATTTGGTTCAAAAAAATTCCAAATACATTTTATTTCCAATAAGTTTTTATATTATGTTTTAATGTAATTATTTCACATTAGTACAATGTGAATTAATTTTAGGAAAATTGTTTCTTAAATTTTATTTATCTATAGTTAGTATAAAGAATTAATATCTACTTGTCTAGCTGTTTTATTTTTCACTTTACCTTGTTCATTTCTGGTAAAGTTGGTCCAACGAGACCAAAATATGACAAACAAATATCCAAGCAACAATGAAGAATTGATGTTTCTTCTTCAAAATACTATTAACGTTGTCTTCTCCTCAGACAAAGATTTTTCTAGATATTTTCATTTTTATGATTTAGTGTATGTTTGTATGTTCACACTTTTCAATTTTAAATACTATGTTTGACGTTGTTTCAACATAACTCTCAATAATATAATAGAGTAATAAAAAGTATAAATTGAAATGTACATATTTTATTTTTTATAAACTAAGAACCATCTTCATTTATGTCACGATAATTTATCATCAAATATCACCTATAAATATTTATTATTCTATGACTGTATACCGGGTGCGTCTCAAAAGTTGCTCACCCCTATAGCTTGTTTATTTTTCCAGATAGCAAAATTATATTTGGTATGTTAGTGTATAACATAAATTAGGATTGATTGACGTATTCAATTGTTTTTGGTCATTTCCAGTTTCACCGAAAATTACTACAACTTTTGATTTTTAAATGACACCCTCGGTATTTTTTTAATTTATTCGATAGAATATGACAGTCTGAATAGAATGACATCATATGTCAAGTTTTGACATTTTCGCATATGGTTTATTTGAAATTGTAACATGCGATTCATAAGACAATTTGACTCGAAATACCAAGTGTGTGGTATCAAATTATTCGTAAAAAAAATATTTTCCAAATATGCTAATGAGCCATTCTTGCTCCGTTTGAAAAAATTGAGATATGATTAAAAATACGATTTGGACATCTTTTAACCGGCCACAACAAGGCACGAAAAATATTGATCAAATTTATTTTTCGAAGGCTCCTTGATTAAAAATTAGTATTTTTAACACAGCCATGGTACTCTAGATTGAAATTTAAAATACGATTTTTAAAGCGAAAATGTCAAAAGCTGACGTCATATGATATGTCATTCTATTCAGAGTGTATATTCAGTTTTCTATCGAATAAAGTAAAAATATACAGAGCGTGCCATTTAAAAATCAAAAGTTGTAGTCATTTCCGGTGAAACAGGAATTGACCCAAAACGATTGAATACGTCAATCAATCTCAATTTATGTCATATACTAACATACCAAATCTCGTTTTTTTATCTGAAAAAATAAAAAAGTTATAGGGGGTGGGTCACTTTTGAGACACACCCGGTATATAGATAAAGTATATTATTTTTCAGTATTATTACAAGTTCATTTGTTGTAGATTTAGTTGAATATGTCGATAAAATAAATAGTTTTAAACAGTTCATAATAATACAAATAAAATAAAAAAATAATATACAGGGTGTCCACTTTAAAAAAAACTAAGTTTGAGTAATAATATTTCGAAAATGACAGCTCTCAGCTAAAAACTAGTTACGCCACTGCATTTACGTGAACAACTTTACGGAACTCAGTTTTCTTTTTTTTAGAGGATAACGGAAAAATGCAAAATTTTCAAATTCGCCCTGTGTTTCAGGAACTAATAGAGCTAGGACAAATATGTGTGTAGCATCTTTAGATTCATAAAAAAGTTAAACAGTGATGTGAAAAGCGCATATTTGTATCTCTACCCATAAACGAAGAAACACTATAAAATACATGAAAATGGGACACCCTGTATGATACTTATACAGGGCGAGTCTTAAATAAGTGCAAATATTTTAGGGGTAGTATATTTCGACCCCAGAAACACAATTACGTGGCTTTTTTCGCGAAAAAAAATTTGAATTTTTTGAAAAAAAAATTGGATTTTTGTTTAGTTTTTGGTTAAAAACATAATTTCTTGATAATATGGCAATATAGATAGTAGATTAAATTTACAAGATAGAAAACCCAGAAAATATTTAGTGGTTCCCAAAATTGAAGCTAAAAAACCTTTTTTTAGAAATTTTCAAAGCAAAATAACTCAGTTATTTTGGACTTATTTGAAAAACGGTAAAGAGAGAATATGTTTCTTTTATCGAGGTCTACCAGCCTTAAAAATATTTCCACTTATTTAAGACTCACCCTGTATAGTCATTGTAAGTATCGGGAATAAAAAAATATCTTAATGACAAAAAATAAATAACTAATTCTCCAAAAATAAAAATAAATAAATAAAAGAACTATCAATTATAAAAAAAACTTATGAAAAATCAATAACTTGTAGATATTATTATTAAAAATGTTACTGCTTAAATAGATATAGATTAGTCGTTTGTATTAATAGTTATTTTTTGTACAAGACGATAAAATGGTATTTTATCGTCGACCGAAAAGTAAAATAAAATTTTATCGTCGTGTGTCGTGTATAAAAAATATTTTTTTCCATAGCGAGTTACGTTTTAAAAAATATTCAGAAATTATTATTTCAAGGAATTTATTACGAGTAGAAAAAATATTGTGCTGGGTTGGCGTTGGTTGGCTTTAGTTGTCAGTTTTGAGTCAATTTTTTTTAATTCTCTTTCGTGTCGATTGTTGATTGAATTGGAGCCAGAAATGGCTCAAAATGAAATAAGTAAATTACCAACAGATATTCAGGCAGAGGCGCCATATCCAAACTACTTCCATTTAAATCCCGAATAACTTATGAAAAGGAATACAAAAATTTTCAAAAATGGAAGCAATTAAAAAACGTGCGAGAAGAAATAAAGTTTTTAACCTATCCTCGCTATTAACCTATCCTCGCTAAAGTACTATTTTATCTACTATTTTTGATAGATATAAGGCAATTTGAACAGTTGCTATGGAAAAAAGAAAATAACGAAAAAAAAATCACGAAAAATGTGAATTTATATTTATATGTTTAAATCTATCAATAATGGTTTGAATGAACTGTTGAAAAAGACACATTTTCAAAAAATTGAAATAAAAATTAAACGGTACTTACTTGCTGGTACAAACAAAGAAGGATCTTCACCCGACCCGAACACTAGCAACAAAAGAAACACATACACATATGTGATATGTATACACAGAGGAACTAATTGATATGCCGATTAAGAGCTAAAAGAGAGGCAACTGACAATGAGACTGCACCGCACACATACACGTTACGAATAGCCGGCAAAACGCGAGTCGCGTCTAAATTTCGTTATCGAGAAGTGGTGTAACAATTTACGTTTTCGTTTATATAAATGCACGGATCGTTGTTAATAAACAATGAGCGTTCTAGCGAAGGAAGGCGCTAAAACTTTGGAGTTTTTCGCTTTACAGATTGTGTTGAAGTACATAACCTTGTTTTGGATTGGAACAATACCGATTTGTAATCGATTGTTATTGATTATTTTCGTATTTATAACGCGTAGTCATGAATATACCGTGTGGTGCTTCGGAACACGGGACAGAAAATCCTATGTACATTTTGAAAAGGTCAAATATTACCTCCCCAGAAAATTTAATGCAAAAATTGTAGGTGTTAAAGTTGTACTTTCGCCTAAAATTGCGTTTCATTTCGAATAGAAATTTAAAAGTTATTCACGAAAATCAACTTTCAAATTTGTAAAATTTATAATACGGCCCAGAGAAAGCTACAATTAAAAATAGGTACCAGCAAAAATGGGATTTTGTCATTGTCAAATTTGATGCCACATTTTGTTTACAATAATTTGAAGGTACTAAATTAAGTAATTTTGTATAACATATTTATGATTTTCACAACTTCTATAAAAGTTACTATAGTTAAACGGCATTTAGCTATAAATGGTTTTCTCGCTGTATTAACGTTGATTCTCGCTATACCTTCCGTTTCCATTCCATATCCATTCCATATTCGTTCCATATTTTTTATTGTATTGTCGCTATACGTAAGTTTCCGTTCCGTATCAGTTTTTATTGTACAGGGTGTGACCCTTTTCTATAGGAGATAGACGAAAACTAGTATCGGTGTCTGGAGCTCAATTTTTGTCAAAAACATGATAGTGAAAACCGCACCTCGATATCTGTTACCGTTTATGTGTTTTTCAAAAATGTGCATTTTTAACAAATCGCTGTAACTTTTTTGCTATGGAAAATTTTGTATTTTTATGAAAATATATCTAAAGTATCTTTTTACGTAGAATTTAATGGTTTAAGTATATATTTTTTTTAAATTAATAATTTAAGAATTATCAACAGAAAATTTGATTTTTTATATGGGGCACCCTGTATATTTTTAATGCATTGAAAAGAATTTAAAATTACCTTTCCAAAAATATAGCATACTTAATATTTTGCTCGATTCTTCTTCGAGATACAGAGTTTTTAAAAATTCGCCCTATTTGAATAAGTATAGGCTTTGAACGGCGCAGTCTGTAATGCAATTGTAGCTGTGAGCAGCTATTACAAATAATAAATAATATTTCATGTCCTTTAAATCAACAGATTTAAACTATATATCTAATAACAATAAAAATTAATAGCAAACCAAGACGTGAAATTTTGCTACAGGTGTTCGACATGTCGACCATCTTCTGGACAGACGGGACCGTTTTTGAACATTTCTCGCGGAATTCATTAACTCAGTAGGGTGAGAAATACCGTCGCATAATCGCTAAGTATTTCTAATTCTTGTCTAGATTATACGGGCAATTTTAAAATAAGAACCTTTATTCTTCCGCAAATATAAAAATCCATAGGCACTAAGTCAGGCGGCCTCGACGACCAACGGCTGGGATCGTGCTTAGCTATTCAGTTATTCTCAAAATTGGCTGCAAAATTTTGCTGGTAACTTCAGCATTCTGAGGCGGTGCCTCCTCTTGCTGGAAAAATATGTTTTCGAGTTCCATTAGGGACAGATCATCAATAGTCCAAAGCCTACTAGTTAAAAGTGACGAACTTCTAAAAATTCAGTATTTCGAAGTGGACTATAACAAAATATCAAGAGAGCTATATTTTTGGAAAACTATTTTTTTTTTAAGTAATTAATAAGTAAGTTCTTTTCACTTAATTAAAAATATAGGGGATGTCTCTCCTAAATAAAAAATCAATTTTTCTATTGATAACTTTTAAATTATCAATTTAAAAAAATATACTTAAACCATTAAATTCTACGGAAAAAGGTGCTTTGGAAATGTTTTCACCAAAATACATAATTTTCCATATCAAAAAAGTTACAGCGATTTGTTAAAAATGCACATTTTTGAGAAATACCTATACACCTTCTATACACACAATAACTCATAAACAGTAACAGATATCGATGTGCGGTTTTCACTATATTGGTCGCGTTCATCAGAACAAGTTGATCAGTGAGCGATGTACCATCGATTGGTTGTCCTGCTGAACGTGCTTTTTAGATCAAAATCATAAGTAATGCATATTAAATTGTTTTCACCCATTTTTGGCACAAATCGAGGGGATTAGCTAACCGAGAACAATAAACAAAATGCTTTGTTTTCGTTTTCCAAAACATTTTGTGACATTTGGCGTATGTGATGTTTAATCCATCATGCATCGGTAGCGTAGCGTATTTTAAATCTGATGGAAAAAATGGCGACTGATCCCAGAGCGCTCACAACTAATCGGCGCGTTCAGCCGAAAATTAGTGATCGCTGCGGTAGCGCTACGTCTTGATGAACGCGACCCATGTTTTTGACAAAAATTGAGCTCCAGACACCGATATTAGTTTTCGCCTATCTCCTATAATAGAAAAGGGTGTTTCCCTTTAAAAGCGTCGAATTTGACCCTGTACAAATTATATTATTACGAAAGTTTTAGTTTAAAAATTTTTATTTTTTGAAAAAGGTAATAAGTAGATTTAATTAAGGGGTGAAAGAATAAATAAATATCAGATCATCAAAATGTTAACAGAGCTGGTACAAATGTAAGAACTTGACCAAAAAAAAGGAAGAATTGAAAAACCGGTGTTCACAAAGACTTTATGACCTTGTAAAATGTTATTATATAATGCTTATTAAATAAAACAAACATTAAAAACACAAAACTGACCTAATACGGCAAGGCGTAGCTAATTAATTACCTACAATCCGAGTGTATGTATGAGATATCTCAAAAATTTCAAGAACTATGCTTCCTAAATGATCTAAGGAAATTATAAATTAGTTAGAATATAATCAAACTGAATAATAAACTTTTACTTTAATGCAGGATAACATGTTTTATTGCTATAAATAATTCAGTTGATAATACAATTAATCTAAAATGGCTATCATACATAAGTAATTTTATTAAACTGGATGATTATTTATTTGATATACAGAATGGATATATTATTATGATACAGGAGGAATCTAGTTGATTTTCACCATGAATTTTGTTTTTAAAACTAACCATAAGTTGAAAATTCAAACTTAAAAAAGTGAGATACTTATTTATTTTTACAGCAAAGTAATGAGTTCTTTGGATGAACAATAATAATTTAACCCATACAAAAGCCCCATACTCACTATGCGCTGATACAGTTCGTCGATGCGATTTGTTAGTTCGTTTTGGAAATTCATCTATTGTGTTTGGGATATTCCTTTGAAGACGTCACTTTGCGCGAGTTTGACATTTCTGATTATGACTCAGATTGATCAGGAATGGCAAAATGTCATCACTGGTCTCGAGATCCTTGCTCTTATTGCTTACGTATTTTACTTCTGTCAATTATTTTTGATATATCACTTAAATTAACTATATTAGATGCATGCCCTGTCACACGCTTGTACTCAGGAAATCGAGTCCTTTCAAAAACTGAAAAAATTAAGTTGGCCTCTGTATCTCACAGATTATCAGCTAATTTGAAAAACTAAAAATACTATCAGATAGCCCTAATAAAGTGGCTATAAGGATGTGCAATTAGTTTTTTGATTTTCTAAAAAGTAACGAGAGGAAAAAATAAAATTTGTTTTCAAAAAAATAATTTTTTCCAAAAAACGCAGCAATCTTTGAAATTTTTAAAACTTTTTTGAGAGCATATTGGTGAACATCCCGAAGCGCAACTTTACCCTAATATAACCATGTTCATATTTATTACAGTTATCGAGATACCAATGCTCGTACCTCGAATTTGTAGCACCCTGTATAGCTTAAGAAGTTGGTTCGAAATTTGCGTAAACATATTAATAGTCCATAAATAAGTGTAAAATTATGTTTGGATCACCTTATTTCAAATATGTCACTTTCCTCTGACTCACTTTTTTATGTATATCTACTAGTTAATAAAATCAATTTAGATAAAATGCCCGATCGGTTAATTTTAAATTCAATGAACAGAAAAAGTTTTAACGGGTTTAGTCGCCTCTCTGCCACAGCCAATCTTTGCCAATGCCAGGTGAGTTATGTTATGAAGATCAAGAGCGAGTGTGGTAATCAGCTTTCTCCATGCAGCCAATTCAGACCCGCAGTGCATTCTACCTAACTCTTATGTTAAATATTTGTTTACCTTTCATTTTCTATTAGATAATGTATTTATTTTTATTTATTTATCGTCGCTGGAAGTCAATCAGCTACGTCAGTAAATATGCTTTTTTCTATCCATCACAGCATAAAAAAAAAAAAAGTTGGTAGTTTAAAAATGGCACAAACTGAAATTGTGATATACAAAATCAAAATTCCATGCGAATGTGAAATATTTTTATGTTGGTGAAACATCTAGAGTCACAGTGATGGTGAACAAACAGGCTCATTTTTGGTGACACGCAAGATATCTTTAAAGATAAAAAAATCCATAATTCAAATATTTTTCTTTCATAATGGCCTAGTTGGTTATTATTATTACTTACATGAATAATCTAAAGGAGAAAACATTCGACCAATGTGTACTACTAGTCATGACCTATGCATGCGAAACCTGGAGTCTTAAAACGGACATCATAAGGAAACTGCAGGTCATACAACGCTTGATGTAACGAAATATGCTGGGAATAATTAAGAGAGACCGTAAAAGAATAGAGTGGATACGACAAAAGACCCAGGTAATAGACGTCATCCACAGAGTCAAATTCCTCAAATGGCAATGGGTAGCACACGTAGCACACCTGGAAGAAGAACGGACAACAGATGGACCACAAAAATTATACCATAGTGCTGACGAGGAATTAAGAGACCTAGAAGAAGACCGAACCTGAGATGGGACTAGTGCATTCAATCCCGGGATCCCGGACATTTTTTCAATCCCGAAATCCCGGAATTGTCTTTTATTTAATCCCGGGATTTTCTGGATTCATGATTACATTATTTCTTTAATTTAAATCGTATACAAGTCTTTCATGATAGTACAATATGCGCTTATAAACAACCCTGAATGTAAGGCAACAACATAATGTAATGAGATATGATAACATCGAT